TTGGGGTCCAACCCGGGGGCGTCCTTTTGGGGGGGGGGGGGGGATACACATAATGCTTCGTTGATTTATTTACTGAAATTTCAGTCTAAATGTAAGCAACAGCAGTGTTCACATATTCCTATATTATATTCTAAATACACCATTACCTAACATAATGCTAGTTCTACTCCATAACTATATGGCAACCACTGATCGATCAAAAAAGCTATAAGACAAGTAATTGGATTTCAAATGATAATGTTGCTCAAAGGTGCTAATTTAGAACATTGCAGAGAGAACATGAAATATGCAAGAGCTCAAAACAAGCCAGACTGACTGATAAACATGAACAGGTACCATTCCTTTAGTTGAAGGGAAAATTGGATCAAAGCACAGATGATGATGATGGGATACATACTGTTGCAGTTACTTCATGCTTCTGCAGGTAAACCTCAACAGATGATGGATGAATGGATCCTGGAGGTCCTGTGAGTGCTCCAGGTGGCCGCATGAGGTTAGGATTTGAAAAAGGAGGGCCACCAGCTGCTTGACCATAGATATTTTGCATCGGAGGACCACCCATGCTATTGAACCCACTAGGAAGAGTTGGTACTGGATTTTGAAGCGGAGGATCACCCATTCTCATTTCCTAATGAACAATTGCAACAACAAATGTCTACATTTAGCGTCACAGTGGTTAGGAAATTTTACAAGCAATGCAAATACCATCCCAAAACATTCTCAATTGGAAAAATATTAACTGTAAAATATCTTAAAACTGCCTAGTAATATATATCATATTTAGCACAAAACTTCCCTATTTCAAAATAAGTATGAAGTAAAACTTCCCTATTTCAAAATAAGTATGAAGCAAATATGCCTCACAATGGAGTTGACTGGTTCTGGCAACATGTCATATAAAGTTATTAACACAGACAAAATGTATTGTGCGTAGAAAGTGATGATATAAATGGACCTGGAAAGTCGCATCTAATAGAAACAGCAACAAATGATATGGAAGTAACATACATGCTGATTTCTTGCTACAGGTATAGCTGCAAGCTTGGGTTGCTGAGGCGGAGGCCTAATTCGACTATCCATGTTACTGTTGTAATAATAGTCATTTCCTCCTCTTCCGAGTGTGTTTTCCTCATAACCCTTTGATCCAACTGGGGGTGTATCCAGCTCATGACCATGTGCCATACTTGAGCCCATCTGACCGGGAAAGCGTGGACCAGGCGGCCTCTGACCTGAATCATTTGTATTTTGCTGCCATTGACCCAAAGATGATGGTTGTTGGACATTTACAGAAGAACCGCCAAACTGCAAAGCTTGAGCAGGCTGAGCAGACATCTGAGGTCTGATAACAGAACCAGTCCCCACTTGCGGATTCTGAGCAGATGATGCACCAGTTTGCTGAACTTGTTGTGGCGAAAACCCAACTTGTTTACCTTGGGGGAAATCAACATCTTCCCTTTGCTGAAATCCCACTTTATGCTCTTGTTGATGAGAAAACTGTTGATTCTGCGGAACGTGCTGATTTTGCTGCTGTGGAATTTGCTGTCCCTGTGGAGGCAAATTTTGTGGATACGCAACATGCTGTGCCTGCTGATGAGAAAATTGATAACCATGTGGTTGTCCCATTTGTACACTTGGGAATGCTTGTGCTTGGGAGCCTAGTTGTTGTGGCATTATTTGTTGTACTGCTGGTTGAGAAACATGCGGCCCTGGCTGATTGGGAGTTTGTCCCATTTGCAATGGCATCTGATGACCAGGTTGCTGGATCATTTGAGACCGAAGTTGTGGCATAAAGGATACCTGTTGCATGGCAGGACCAGCTGGTGATCCTTGTTGCTGCCCTGTTGAAACACCTTGTGATCCATGTGGTACCTGTTGTGTTACTTGTGGATGTTGTGACATGTGTGTCATTTGGCCTTGTTGAGCAAACGCCTGTTGGTTCTGTTGGCCTTGACTATCATATTGTTGCACAGTGCTAGCTCCTGGTATAGGAGCCAACTTAGGTGCAGAAGCTTCCGGAGGTGGACCAGGCGGCAGTGGAGGAGGTAAAGCTGATGGCTTCTCGTACTGAGTAACATTAGTTTCTGGATTCCAGAAGTACAATAACCCAGTACTACCATCAACTAAGCCCTTCCAAGGTTGGGGTAAATTTGGATCATCGGGTGCATAACGAGGTCCCAAGGAAGCCGTAGCTGCCTCAGGAGTTGTCATACTTGAGCTACCTAAGGCAATCCACGGAAAAGGTCATATATGAATTGACTAGATATAATGACAAGCAAAGGGTATACTAAACGTGAATATGCTAACAAGAATACTATCATCAAGTAAATCAGATAATAATTAAACAGATATTTCCCTATGAAAACAATCCAAAGTCCTAACCAGATTACTGTTCTCGGGCATAAAAGGCCAAATGACAGTTTATGCCTATTGAGTTGAAGTACAAACTTAGCTTAAGGAGACATTACTAGCATTCTGAACCCCATTTCAGCTGTGAATAGTGAACATGAGTAGATAAACTGAAGGATTGGTCAATCAACTTAACAGACAATCCCCTCGTTTTGTTTCAAACAACTCAAAAAACAAAATAGCAAACGGTGCAAACTCATCATCATACACACCAAAACCAAAACGAAAATAAAAGATAATTTTTTGTAAGAATTTCTGAGATTATAAGCCGTTCAAGCTAATCAGACCGTGCAAACTTGAATTGGAAGGACAACATGAAAGAGAGAGAAACAAAATAAACTAGATTTGCTGCTTTTAGATACTCAAAACCTAAAAACATATCCAAAACGCACCACTTCAAGCCAAAAAAAATAAAAACTTTAATGGACCATCAGAACTAGGAAATTCAAACTAGTTCATGCATGTAGGAATCTTACTTCATCGCTCAACCGGAAAAAAAAAACAGGCAGATAGTAGCTGAGGACAACAACGAAATTGATGAACGGAAATCAAACCTCAATTGAGTAACCTTCACGGAAGCTTTGTGTACGGCGAGCTCCAGGTGCCGAGTGCCGACGGCCGACGGAAGAGATTGTACGCTTAATTTGAAGTTTAGGGTTCAGGTCTTTCGAGAAGAGAATTGCCTGCTTGTTGGACTATATTCTTTCTTTAAATATGGACCTGTTGGGTTGGGTTGGGTTGGGTGGGCTGATTGACCGTCTCGTCTTTCTTCTTCTAAACAATCACTTAAAAATATCTTTGCTAGAAAAATAAAATAAAAAATCAAACACCACTAATCCTTTTCCTTTCATAATTCAACTACTCACTTTTACCATTCTTTTGTGTGATGAAAGAGGAAATTTACATTGAAAAATAAATAAATTGAATGCATAGTCATTCAAAGAACTTGTTTGGGTCGTTTTTCTCATGCTCTTTTTTAACATATTTTGATTGTTGAAAGTATTTGATGGAGTATTCATAGCTGATAATTATTTGATTAATTGTCGGTTAACAGTTATTTGATTTATTCTAACAATAGTTGAATCTGTTAGTATTTACTTGATTTTAAATATTAAAATGTATTTCTTCTAAATCATTTATGGTCTGTCGGATACTCTGTTTTAAAATTTCAATTTTTTATTGTCTGCAGAATTTAAAAAAGGATATAAAAAATGTTTAGATAGAAGAATCTAGGTTGTCACCGTGTTATTAAAGTTTAACCGGTCTTTACACTAATTATCTTTTAAAAACTTAGAACTCAAGATAAGTTATTGAAATTAAGGCGATAACTCAATGGACTGTGTCTTGTCTGTCAAACAAACGAGAAATTGATTGAATACATAGTCATTCGATAGAACTTGCTTGGGTTGTCTTTCAAATGCTCTTTGTTAAACATATTTTGATTGTCGATAGTATTTTATATTCATAGTTGACAATCATTTGATTCATTGTCGGTTAACAATTATCTAAATTTGTTCTAACATAATAATTGAATCTGTTAGTATTTACTTGATTTTACAAATTAAATGTGTTTTTTTGTAAATCATGTATGATTTGTCAGATGCCCTGTTCTAAAATTTCAGAGTTTTATTGTCTGTAGAATTTAAAAGGGGATATAGAAGATGTTTAGGTAGAATCATCTAGTTTGTTACAATATTGTTAAAGTTAAACCGATCTTTACACTACGGTTATTTTTTCATGAAAAACTTAGAACTCAAGATAAGTTATTGAAATTAGGGATATAACTCTATGGACTATGTCTTGTCTGTCAAACAAACAAGAAAATAATTGAATGCATAGCCATTAGATAGAACTTTCTTGGGTGGTCTTTCTCATGCTCTTTTTAAAACATATTTTGATTGTCAATCGTATTTTATATTCATAGTTGATAATTATTCGATTCATTGTCGGTCAACAATTATCTGATTTGTTCTAACATAATAATTGAATTTGTTACTATTTACTTGATTTTAAAAATTAGTGTATTTTTTCTAAACCATATATGGCCTGTTAGATACTTTGTTCTAAAATTTCAATTTTTTATTATCTGAAAAAATTTAAAAGGGGATATAGAAATTGTTTAGGTAAAAGAATCTAGTTTGTTAAAGTTAAACCGGTCTTTACCCTATGGTTATTTTTTCATAAAAAACTTAGAACTCAAGATGCCTTGTCTGTCAAACAAATGTGAAATTGATTGAATGCATAGTCATTCGATAGAACTTGTTTGGATGGTATTTCTCATGTTCTTTTAAAAACATATTTTGATTGTCAATCGTATTTTATATTCATAATTGACAGTTATTTGATTCATTGTCGGTCAACAGTTATTAGATTTGTTCTAACATAATAATTGAATTTGTTAGTATTTACTTGATTTTAAAAATTAAATGTATTTCTTCTAAACCATATATGGTTTGTTAGATGCTCTGTTCTAAAATTTCATCTTGCAGAATTTTAAAAGGGGATACATAAGATGTTTAGGTAGAAGAATCTAGTTTGTTACGGTGTTGTTAAAGTTAAACAGGTTTTTACACTATGGTTATTTTTTCATGAAAAACTTAAAAGTCAAAATAAGTTGTTGAAATTAGGGACATAACTAAATTAATTGTGTCTTGTCTGTCAAACAAACGAGAATATTGATTGAATGCATAGTCATTCGGTAGAACTTGTTTGGGTGGTCTTTCTCATGCTCTTCTTTAAACATATTTTGATAATCAATAGTATTTTATATTCCTAGTTGACAATTATTTGATTCATTGTCCGTCAACAGTTATCTGATTTATGCTAACATAATAATTGAATTTGTTGGTATTTACTTGATTTTAAACATTAAATGTATTTCTTCTACGCCAATATGGTATGTCAGATGCTCTGTTCTAAAATCTTAGATTTTTGTTGTTTGCAAATTTTTGTAAATGGATATATAAAATGTTTAGGTAGAAGAATATAATTTTTTTCCAGTGTTTTTGAAGTTAAATCGGTCTTTACATTATGATTATTTTTCCATGAAAAATTTAGAACTCAAGATAACTTATTGAAATTAGGGATATAACTCAATGAACTATGCCTTATTTGTCAAACAAATGAGAAATTGATGATCGTCTTTTCTTCGGTGTGTCCCTTCGCAAGAGATATTTGTCAGGAATTTCTCAATTGAATGTATGGACAACATGTAATTTATATATGAGATATGAAAAATATACCTATGCCTTATTTGTCAAACAAATGAGAAATTGATGATCGTCTTTTCTTTGTGTGTCCCTTCGCAAGAGATATTTGTCAGGAATTTCTCAATTGAATGTATGGACAACATGTAATTCATATATGAGATATGAAAAATATACCAGCTCGAAAACTTTGAACTAAGGGTCCTAGCATGAAGATTGGACTTGGTGTAGTGATTTACATTTGTATTGAAAAAAACACTCAGATAATTTCGTAGTACTTGAATGTTGAATTACTATAATACCCCCAATTAAAAATACTTAATTTATTTAATTTATTAATTTTATTAAATTGAAAGTAGATAACTTTTCAAAATAAAGGATTGTGACTTTTTCAATGAGTTGTGCCTTTTCTGAAGGGTTGTGATTTATTCGAAGGGTTGTGACTTTTCTAAAGGGTTGTGCATTTTCTGATGAGTTGTGCCTTTTTTAAAGGGTTGTGACTTTTCCAATAAGCAGTGACTTTTTTGAAAGGTTGTGACTTTTCGGTTAAGGCACAATTAACACATATTCATACTACTATTTGGTAGCTATAAATAGAGGGGTTTCCTCACACTTTTAAACTACAATTTCTTTAAGTTCTCTACTCTTCTTCTTCTTCTTAAAAAATCTCAACCGTTATTTACAAAAAATGATTAAGTTCGAAATTCAACATAATTCGAGGTACCTCATACAAAAGAGTTGGTAAAAAAATTGTAGCAAATCATTCATCAATTCACACTTGTATTTTTTCTTACCATTTTCATGAGTTAACAGTGACGAAAAATTGTGAGAGAGACAATATTATTAAACAGATATGAAAAAAGGCATATGATCTGAGTAAGATATTTCTTTTTTTATTTTTTATTCTTTTCCCTCAAACGAAGGAGTTTCTTCCTAATTTTGCTAAAACAATGGGTATCAATAGTCCGTTGAATTATTAGTTTTGATTTTAAATTCACTATTTCAAAAATAGATTTTCACTTTTACTTATAATATGATAACATATCCATGATAATAATTATTTTTTAATAGATATGTATGTAAAAATTAACGGAGAAAGTAAAGTGTTTGTGGCAGGAGATTTAAATCAAATGGAACACTAGAGTGAATTTAGCATGAACATATATTTTCGTCTTCCTTCTTCATTGGATATGTATTGTTCCATATAATTTTTCTTTATATCACAAGATACACTCCTTACTAGCTATATAAAAAATAGATAAGAAAATAGTGACTGATCATAAAATGATCTTAAATCAAATTAATGATTCTATAAATAATACTTTAATTTTAATTCATCTATTAAA